GAGAGATACCGAATCCCTTTCAAACAATGATTTTGCAAGTGAAACACAACAAAGATGATGATATTGCAAAAGTAAGCAGTCTGGTCAATGCCTTGTCGTGTCTGTTATAAGCGGTTCAGAATTGAAGCACTTACAGAACATTTTTGAAGGATTATTGTTAGCAAATTTATGCATCAGTTAACTGGAAAAAAAGCTGGGGTCTTTCAAGTAAAGTGGAAAGAGTTGCTAGGTTCTTTTGCCCTCGATCAAAAGAACGCTTTTGAACTCTAGTAGAAATAGATTTCGGAGATCGAGTAATTGATATTTAAGCAGAGGATATCTCAACGCGGCCGCGAGTATCAGCACAGCCGAGCATACACACAAACAAAAATTGTCTGTTTCGTTCGTTATTTCGATTCTGTATAACTGAATTTTTCTTTGAATTCTCTGAAATGGCCTTTGAGCACAAAGGGGTTCGGTCGCATCTACGGAGTGCCCAACTGTCTTGTAAGGTGTTCGCATTCTCGCAGTCCTGCAAACCAAACTTATGGTGTTTTTTAGGTGGAGTAATTGAATTGAGGGTCACACATTTTTTGCGACACCCGCAAGTTTTATCATTGTTGAAACGCCAGCAGGCAAGGCAGTGTAAAGGCATGACACGGTCTAAACCTTAGCAGCGCTAAGTATGTGCCTCATTTTTTTAAACCCAAGCTTGGTCGATATGGGTTACTGTGTGTCAGTTTAGCCTCTTACGCACATAGGCGCCAAATGTTTGCAGCATGAATGAAGGAAAATAAAGTGGGCTTTAGTTCCCTGCAAGCCTTTCAGTTCTGCTTACAGGAGCCAGAGGCCCGACGGCTGCTAATCAATTCAAATGACGGGGTGATATCACCAAGAAACGCTCTAGAACTTTTTACTCACAAGCATAAATCGCCGCTGAAGGGTATACAAGTCGTCTTCGTAAAAGTTTATAGAATATCATGAAATCCCGCAAATGCTCAGCGTACGAAGACGCACATTGATAGTCCGGGGACTGCAGTCAAATTTACTAAAAAGATGCAGTATCGATTGGTTCATAAGTATTTTGATTTCATGGAATCGAAAATTGGGTTTAATGGATTTACATAATTTTTAATCTTTGTGCATAAGTACGTCGTCACTCTTAATGGCAGTGTCACCTAGTTCCATTTGCCCGAGTTTATGTGATGTTTTTTACGTTTATTTTTACAGTGGCAGGCCCTGTGTCTGGTTTCAGGGGATGGAAAAACACGTTGGTTGAAAAAGAAGCAAAGACAGATTAACAGGGCTCCTGAACTTGATTTTCGACGAGCTTTTTTCAGGAAAGTCAACTTGAAAAATCAGAATGCAGCGATAATAAGGGAAATTCACGTGAAAATAGTGTGGACACTGAGCATACACGGTCTGACAACGAGAAACTGGAACAGTCACATCGCAAAGTCATTATTCACACGCGTAACCGGGATGAATCTCCAAACACGAAAAAGGTAATCGTAAGAGTTATACCCACTTTGACAAGTTGTTGTGTTTTCTGCTAAACCAAATTTGAACAGTGGTAAAAATGATGATAGTAATACCAAAATACAGAATATTTTTAGGAACTAATAACGAGTGGAAAATATGAATTCTAGAAAATTGACACTTTTTTTGACTACCCACGTGTGTCCCCGCAAATTTAAATTCAGCTTCTCCATACCCGCGTGTAACACGTATGGTCCCGTGAAAGTTTTTTACGGGTAAATTAATATCTTGGGAACCACGGAGTCCAGGAGGCTGGAATTTTAGGATAATGACCCCTGCCCACGCCCCGCTCTCTTGAATATCACTTACAGCCTTGTGAAAGCTTTGACGGGTAAACTATTAACTCGGGAATCACAGAAAGATATTCACCCTTCGAGGTTTCGAATTCAGCTTTCATGCGCTGGTGCGTGGAATTTTTGACTGTTTCCCAATGTTTGAACTATTTTTGCTTAGACTAAAGTACAAAGCTGTGAAAATCATTAATAGGCAATCGTTCAATGGGCTGAATTGCACAAAACGCATGATCGCACCGGCTAGGCTGGTGCGCGTTGCTATTTATTAGATCTTATGCAGTTGCAAAGATGCATATTAGTTTTTTGTCGGCAGACGATTTCAGAAATGGTTAACTAGTTAACATTCGAGCCCGGAACTTTACATGTGTATTCTCTATCCATGTACGAGCTAAAAATTTTCGAATTCTGTTGTCACGAAACTTGTGTCACTCGTACGGTCAGGTTAATGTTCCCAGTTAGCACTGTGCCAACTCAAAAACTGGTCGTTAAACGATATCTATAATTCTGCCTGAATATTTGTCGTTTTTCTTGGGGCGATACTTAGATGGAGTCTCGATTTGCACTTGCACTACGCTTTAGGACACGTCAAAGATATTTGTTATGCAGTTTCAAAACCAGAAAAACTGCGAAGCTGAAATTATACTAGGATATTCTACATTCATATGTGCTAAATTCAGCTTGGAGATTTAATTCTCTGCATAGTGGACATGAAAAATGCTCAGTTCTTTATTAACTTCAAAGGTCAGTGCATTTTTCTCGAATACATCCTTCTCTCTCGACATCCTGTTCACTGCCTAATTTGCAATTTCACTGAACGATCAGTCACCGGAAATTATTGAGCATGAAAACGCATGTTCGCACCGAAGCCCTGTTTTGCTTTACTACTTGGATTTTTTAATGTGTTTCTAAAATTTTTTATTTTTTGTTTGCTTTTTTTTTTTGTCATTTTGTCTGTAGATTTGTTACTGGTGTGACAACTGTTGTGCTTTTATCGCTGGCGGTTTGCTAATAACGAGTTGAATAACTACGGTATAGACGGCGTGTAATAATGTTACACGAGGTTTAGCATTATTAGTTTTACAGTGCTGCGTACGGCGTGTTAATGTAGTACATTAACATAGAAGCACCATACCTGTTAGTATGTGGGATCGGTTAATTTTTGTTTTACCGCAAGCAAAAGATCCTGTAAATCAACTTAGCTTTGTCGCATTATGCAAAATCCATTCATCTTCCGAACTGTTAATTGCCCATCCCTCCCTCTCCTTTCGTTATCGCTTTGTTATTCCTGCAAATACAGTAAAT